GATCTCACTATGTTCCCCAGGCTGGTCTCTATTTCCTGGCCTCAAACAGTCTGCCTTGGCCTCCCAACGTGCTGGGATTACAGGTGTGAGCCACTGTGCTTGGCCTCTAGCTGTTCCTTGGACATTTCAGGCACATTTCTATTCTAAGGCTTTTGTATTGTTGTACTCTGCCTGGAACACTCTTCCCTTGTACCCCTCAAGTCTGCATCACTGTCTTACACTCTTCAAACCGTGCTCAAGTGACAACTCAGGGAAGCCTCCTCATTACACTGTTACAGTTGCATCCCCACTCCCATCATTTCTGACTCCCCTATGCTGTTTCCTTTTGCATTGCACTTATTTCCCTTTAATTTTTATATAGTTTACTTATGTTTTAGTTTGTTTTTACCACAATGATGGCATCTTGTAACACATTGAATATTTCTAGCTTTAGCTTCTTTGCCATAATCACTTGCCAATGAATGTTGCAGTAAATGAATTTCATGTGTACTTCTAATTTTTAAAAATTTCATTTCATTTTTATTTACTTATTTATTTTTGAGACAGGACCTCACTCTGTCGCCCAGAGTGGAGCACAGTGGCATGATCACAGCTCTGCAGCCTTGACCTCCAGAGCTTAACCAATCCTCCCACCTCAGCCTCCTGAGTAGTTTGGACTACTGGCATGCACCACCTGCCTGGCCAAGTTTCCTTTTTTAGAGAGACAGGATCTCCCTATGTTTCTTTTTTTTTTTGAAGCGGAGTCTTGCTCTGTCACCCAGGCTGGAGTGCAGTGGCAGGATCTCCGCTCACTGCAAGCTCTGCCTCCTGGGTTCATGCCATTCTCCTGCCTCAGCCTCCCGAGTAAATTACAGGCACCTGCCACCACGCCCAGCTAATTTTTTGTATTTTTGGTAGAGACAGGGTTTCACTGTGTTAGCCAGGATGGTCTCGATCTCCTGACTTCATTCCACCCTCCTCAGCCTCCCAAAGTGTTGGAATTACAGGCGTGAGCCATTGCGCCTGGCCAGGGTCTCCCTATGTTTCGCGGACTGGTCTCAAACTCCTGGGTCCATGTGATCCTCCCACCTTGGTTTCCCAAAGTGCTGGGATTACAGGCATGAGCTGCTGCACCCAGCTTTAAATCTCATTTTAATCCTACTCAAAGGAACCAGCTGCTTCTTACAAAATATATTGTTTATATAAATAGGTCATCTACTACTGAAGATACCTTTCTTTTCTTGGTTCATAAAAAGTAGTTTTTTTTTTTCCCCACTATTCTTTGTAATAGAGACGGGGTCTTGCTGTGTTGGTTACGTTGGTCTTGAACTCTTGTTCTCAAGCAGTCCTTCTGCCTCAGTTTCCCAAAGTGCCAGGATTACAGGCTTGAGCCACCTTGCCCAGTCAAAATTAGTTCTTTGAGTTCATTTGAACCCAGAAGTTAGGGACCAGAGTGGTCAACACCTGTAGTCCCAGCTATTTAGAAGGCTGAGGCACGAGGATCCTTTGAGTCCAAGGAGTTTGAGGCTGGAGTGAACTATGATCATGCCACTGTACTCTAGCCTGGATGGCAGAGTGAGACCCCATCTCTTGAAAAAACAAAAAAAAAGTAGTTATTTATGTATTTTGTTATTGATTTAGAATCCTGCAACCCTGTAAGAGGAAGCACATTAAAAACTCCACTTGTTTCATAAGTGGTTTTTTTTTTGTTTTTTTTTTTGAGATGGAGTTTCACCGTTGTTGCCCAGGCTGGAGTGCAATGGCATGATCTTGGCTCACCACAACCTCCGCCTCCCTGGTTCAAGCAATTCTCCCACCTCAGCCTCCTGAGTAGCTGGGATTACAGGCATGCGCCACCACGCCCGGCTAATTTTGTATTTTTAGTAGAGACAGAGTTTCACCATGTTGGTCAGGCTGGTCTTGAACTCCTGACCTCAGCTGATCTGCCTGCCTCAGCCTCCCAAAGTGCTGGGATTACAGGTGTGAGCCACTGGGCCTGGCTCATAAGTGGCTCTAATGCTTGTTTCTTAACTGCTTCAGCAATGTTTCCTACATATACTGTATCAGTATTTCCTGACAATGGAGGCCATTTTAGTTTCTTGCTACATTTTTGTTTTCCATGTCAGGAAGGAAAAGTGGCTTTTCATTTTTCACTATTAAGGAAGAAATCTTAAAAGGGAGTTTGATTGTAAAGGGCTGAATTAAGTATCATATGATTTTTATATCTCACTGAAATAATTATAAAGGTCTGTCTTTATGTTTTACATATTTGTTTTTTTGTTTGCTTGTTTGTTTTTTGAGACGGAGCCTTGCTCTTGTCGCCTAGGCTGGAGTGCAGTGGTGCGATCTCGGCTTCCTGCCAGCTCTGCCTCCCAGGTTCACGCCATTCTCCTGCCTCAGCCTCCTGAGTAACTGGGACTACAGGCGCCTGCCACCATGCCTGGCTAATTTTTGTAGTTTTTAAAGAAGAGACAGGGTTTCACCGTGTTAGCCAGGATGGTCTCGATCTCCTGACCTTGTGATCTGCCTGCCTCGGCCTCCCAAAATGCTGGTATTACAGGCATGAGCCACCACACCCAGCCCTTAAATGTTTTTTTAATTGTGATGGTTTTCTATAATTAGCTAATATTTCAAGGCATAATATATACATAGAACAAGCATAGTATATATAAAGACATATTTCAAATGGTGATGTGAATTTTTTGAATGTGATGGGGTTTATCTTTTTTTTTTTGAGATGGAGTCTCGCTCTGTCGCCCAGGCTGGAGTGCAGTGGCCAGATCTCAGCTCACTGCCAGCTCCGCCTCCCAGGTTCAAGCGATTCTCCTGCCTCAGCCTCCCGAGTAGCCAGGACTACAGGTGCCCGCTACCTTGCCCGGCTAGTTTTTTTTTTTGTATTTTTTAGTAGAGACAGGGTTTCACCATGTTAGCCAGGATGGTCTTGATCTCCTGACCTCGTGATCCACCCGTCTCGGCCTCCCAAAGTGCAGGGATTACAGGCTTGAGCCACCGCGCCTGGCCTCATGCATATTTTAAATTGTATTTTCATTTGACTTCACATGCCTCTTTAAACTGAATTATAAATATTTCTTATTTAATTAAATCAAGCATGTATTCACAACATTCTTATACCTCACAAATTGTTTCTTCAGGTCTGGCACCGTGCCACTTTAAATCCTTTTTCAATGAGAAGCCCTTCTCTAACTAGTCTAACACTGCAGATGTACTGTTTCTTTTCTATTGCAGATGAAGTTGCGGAAAATAATGAACATGATGTAACTGCTACTGAATTAGATCCCTTTCTGACAAACTCATCTGAAAGTGAGATATTTGCTTCTGAGTCAAGTAGAAGCCTAACAGAAGAGCAACAACAAAGAATTGAGAGAAATAAACAACTGGCCTTGGAAAAAAGGCAGGCAAAGCTGCTGAGTAATAGTCAGTCCCTAGAAAATGGTAAATTTTATGCCAAATTTTATGTGCTACCATTAATATATCAAGGACATGTTAGATATTTTAACATCTCTGCTAGCCCCCAAAATAAAATACTTCTAGGAGTGGAAAAGTGTGATATTAAGTTTATGTATATTTTAGAGACTGTGTGTGTGAGAGAGGAGGGAGAGAATGTATGTGTTCCTCAAAGAATAAATGAATCTAGGATGGTTTTCTAGATAGCTGAGCACCTCTTAAAAAATTATTTTAATCACCTGACCAGGCGCGGTGGCTCATGCCTGTAACCTCAGCACTTTGGGAGGCCAAGGTGGGTAGATCACCTGAGGTCAGGAGTTGGAGACCAGCCTGGCCAACATGGTGAAACCCCATCTCTACTAAAATTACAAAAATTAGCCAGGTGTGGTGGTGCACACCAGTAATCCCAGCTACTCCGGAGGCTGAGGTACAAGAATCACTTGAATCAAGAAGGTAGAGATTGCAGTGAGCCAAGATTGTGCCACTGCACTCCATCCTGGGTGACTGAGTGAGACTCTCGAAAAGAAAAAAATATTTTAATCACTTAAAATTGATTTTAAATTCTTGATAAACTTATTCTTCCCTGACTCCTTAAAGCATGTGTCATATACTATTACCTTTAGGACAATAATTATAATAATACATAAAGAAAAGAAAAGGCCAGGTACGGTGGCTCATGCCTGTAATCCCAGCACTTTAGGAGGCTAAGGTGGGTGGATCACCTAAGGTCAGGAGTTCAAGACTAGCCTGGCCAACATGGTGAAACCCCGTCTCTACTAAAAATACAAAAATTAACTGTGCATGGTGGTGTGCACCTGTAATCCCAGTCACTTGGGAGGCTGAGGCAGGAGAATTGCTTGAATCCAGGAGGTGGAGGTTGCAGTGAGCTGAGATCAACCCATTGCACTCCAGCCTGGGCGACAAGAGCAAAACTCCATCTCAAAAAAAAAAAAAAAAAAAAAAAAAGAGGCCGGGCGTGGTGGCTCGCGCCTGTAATCCTAATACTTTGGGAGGCCGAGGCGAGTGGATCACAAGGTCAGGAGATGGAGACCATCCTGGCCAACATGGTGAAACCCTGTCTCTACTAAAAATACAAAAATTAGCCAGGCATGGTGGTGTGTGCCTGCCTGTAATCCCAGCTACTCGGGCTGAGGCAGGAGAATTGCTTGAACCTGGGAAGCGGAGGTTGAAGTGAGCTGAGATCAGGGCCACTACACTCCAGCCTGGGTAACAGAGCAAGACTCCTCTCCCCCCACCAAAAAAAAAAAAAATGCTTTTTCTTGTGTTTTGTCACTTGGTTGTGAGTTGTACTTTTAAAGTAGCTGTTTAATTTGCTTATCTGTAGCATTCCCTTCTCACTTCTAAAACTGCCTGAAAAATTGCTTTATTTAAAAAAAATTATTATTATTACTATTTTTAGAGACTGTCAATCTGTCACCCAGGCTAGAGTGCAGTGGTGTGATCTTGACTCACTGCAGCCTTGAACTTCTGGTCTGAAGCAATCCTCCAGCATTGGGCTTCCAAAGTGCTGGGATTACAGGTGTGAGCCAGTGTACCTGGCCTAAATTTGCTGTTTTTAACAGAGATTGTGGATTTGGAAACTACATAACCAAATTTGTTAAAACTATATTTAGAAAGAATTGCAAGTTGCTTTTCAATGAAATAAGCAGGATTGTGTGTATCTTTCTTAATTTCCAATTCAGTTTTTCCTTTCAAAATGGAAAAATAAGAATTATAGGCCCAGCACACTGGCTCTTGCCTGTAATCCCAGCACTTTGGGGGCTGAGGCGGGCAGATCACTTGAGCCCGGGAGTTCAAGACCGGCCTGGGCAACATAGTGAGACCCTGTCTCTACAAAAAAAAAAAAAAAAAAAAAGAAGAGATTCCATGTTGTAAAAGAAGTTTCACCCAATATATTAAAATTTTCAAGTGAAAATTATTTTGGCTACCTTTTTTTTCTTTTCAATTAAGATGAATTTACTTTTTCTTTTTTTAGATGGAGTCTTGCTCTGTAGCTCAGGCTGGAGTGCAGTGGCGTGATCTCAGCTCACTGCAACCTCTGCCTCCTGGGTTCAAGCAATTCCCCTGCTTCAGCCTCCCAAGTAGCTAGGACTATAAGTGCATGCCGCGATGCCTGGCTAATTTTTGTATTTTTAGTAGAGATGGGGTTTCACTATGTTGGCCAGGCTGGTATTGAACTCCTGACCTCGTGATCTGCCCGCCTCAGCCTCCCAAAGTGCTGGGATTATAGGCGTGACCCATCGCACCCGGCTGAATTTACTTTTTCTTTTTCTTTTTTTATTTTTTGAGATGGAGTCTCACTTTGTCACCCAGGCTGGAGTACAGTGGCACGATCTCGGCTCACTGTAAGCTCTGCCTCCTTCGTCCACACCATTCTCCTGCCTCAGCCTGCAGAGTAGCTGGGACCACAGGTGCCCACCACCAGGCCTGGCTAATTTTTTGTATTTTTAGTGGAGATGGGGTTTCACTGTGTTAGCCAGGATGGTCTCGATCTCCTGACCTCGCCGCCTGCCTCGGCCTCCCAAAGTGCTGGGATTACAGGCGTTGAGCCACCACGCCTGACCAATTTACTTTTTCTTTATAAATGGATGTTTTATTAGTACCATGTGAAACATTATATGAAGATAGCATTTTTTTGATGGCAGTGGCTTCCTTGCTGTCAATATCAAGTATACCTGGCAATTGGTATTTAAAGCTTACCTCTGTTTATCATACACAACTTAAAATTTGTCCAAATGGAAATAAGTACTTTAAAGTTTCTTATGGATCACTCTGACATAAAACTTCAATGCATTTGGTTTTTATTGGACCTCTTTCTAGTAGTTACGATTTTTGTTTTTAGATGGGGCCTCGCTCTGTTGCCCAGACTGGAGTGTAGTTGCTGATCTTGGCTCACTGCAACCTCTGCCTCCCAGGTTCAAGCAATTCTCCTGTCTCAGCCTCCCTAGTAGCTGCGATTACAGGTGTGCTCCACCACATCCGGCTAATTTTTGTATTTTTTGTAGAGGCAGGGTTTCATCATGTTGGCCAGACTGGTCTTGAACTCCTGACCTTGAGTGATCTGCCTGCCTCAGCCTCCCAAAGTGCCGCGATTACAGGCATGATCCACTGTGCCCGGCCAATAATAGTTTTGATTTTGAATAAGAACAGTTACATTTGACTATGATGCAAGAGTGTGAATTTAATAACATTCAAAACCATTTTGCTGTTTTTTTTTTTTTTTGTTACAGTGTCTCACCTTGTCACCCAGGCTGGAGTACAGTGGCACAGTCACAGTTTGCCATCACACCCAGCTAATTTTGTTTTGTTTTGTTTTGTTTTGTTTTGTTTTGTTTTGTTTTGTTGTCATGGGGTCTCACTATGTGGCCCAGGCTGGTCCTGAACTCCTCAGCTCCAGTGATCCTCCCACCTCAGCCTCCCAAATTGTTGGGATTGGGCCTGGCCTCTTTTGCATTTAAAATGGATCTTAATTGTATAAAAATGGGTTTGTAGGCCAGGCGTGGTAGCTCACGCCTATAATCCTAGGACTTTGGGAGCCTGAGGCGGGCAGATCACCTGAGGTCAGGAGTTCAAGACCAGTCTGGCCAACATAGTGAAACCCTGTCTCTACTAAAAATACAAAAATTAGCCGGGTGTGGTGGCGGGCACCCGTAATCCCAGCTACTCGGGAAGCTGAGGCAGGAGAATCGCTTGAACCCGGCAGAGGTTGCAGTAAGCCCAGATTGCTCCATTGCACTCCAGCCAAGGTGACAGAGCGAGATTCCATCTCAAAAAAAAAAAAAAAAAGTGTATTTAGAAGAAAGTGATCATAATTAACATTAAGTGATCATAGATTTCATTTTACTAAACTAAGCTTTTGAAGAGGTTTGTACTTCTGTGGTAAGATTGGATCAGGTACTTATAATGAATAATAATGGTATGATTTTTTTCAGATATGTTAATGAATACAGCCAGGGCACACATGGTTGAAGCGGTTAATACTGATGAAGATCAAAAGGACGAGTCAAATGGATTAAACGAAGACATTCTAGACAATCCATGCAATGATGCTATTGCTAATACTTTAAATGAAGAAGAGGAATTAAAATTAGAGGAAACACTGCTGGACCAGTCTTTTAAAAATGTGCAACAGCAACTTGATGCTACATCCAGAAATATTACTGAAGCTAGATAAGTTTCCATTAAGAGAAAATGTATCTGTTAAGTCATCATCCTGCAAGCTTGGCGTTACTATGTATTTTTTCTTCTTGGAGTGAAAATCCTTAGGTAGTAAAACTTTTACAGATTATTGTTTAAAATCTGGTAATCTGGTATTTATTTATAATTATGCTTGTCACTTTAGTTAAATCTATTTGTTCTCTTTAGTGTTGGGTTTTATATAGATATTTCTTCATAAAATGATTAGTAGGTAATAAGGAGTTTCTGCTGCTGGTCTGTCATTGAATGCCTTGTTTTCACTAAGTTTGGAGGTTTTGTTTCTGTTGTTTACTGCTCCTTGCAAAACAGGGTTAACCCATGGATAGTGTGCCCAGAATAGTCTGGGTGAAGTTTGTTTGTTTGTTTTGAGACAGTCTCGTTCTGTCAGCCAGGCTGGAGTGCAGTGGCACAATCTCGGCTCACTGCAGCCTCCACCTCCTGGGCTCAAGCAATTCTGCCTCAGCCTCCCGAGTAGCTGGGATTACAGGCATGTGCCACCACGCCCGGTTAATTTTTGTATTTTCAGTAGAGACAGGGTTTCACCATGTTGGCCAGGCTGGTCTCGAACTCCTAACCTCAGGTAATCCGGCCCCCTTGGCCTCCCAAAGTGCTGGGATTACAGGCGTGAGCCACCGCGCCCAGCCTGGGTGAAGTTTTAAGATGTACATATATTCAATATTAATGTCATTTTTTTAAAAGAAGTAAAAATTATCTTAAAAACTATCTACAGGCTTTATGGTGTTTTTCATTGCTATTTAGTTCTGCAGTTTACACTTTTGGTAAATACAAGGTTTTTACATGTTTTTTAAGGAGTTACTTTAATAGTTAAAAGGTCACATGAAAGGCTAATACATTACCTGACCCTCATAGGTGCTAGGGTAGTTCAAAGAATGCTTTTTGGTAACTTACTGACTAGTTGGAGTGAAACTTGCAAAGTATCATGGGGAACATAGCATCTAGGTAGGATTCACAGGAAAGACTTTGCTTTTGGTGAAGAAGATTCCCAGTATTGGGAATCACATGTACAATAATGATACAGAATAAGATTGAGGGGATAAGGAAGATTTTAGGAATGCTGATTTTGAGACTAGAGGCGTTAGGGCCAAATCATGAGAACACCTGATTGGACTTCTTCCTGCCAGGTAGAGGGGGTAGTTACAAATAAGAAAGGTTAGTGTTAGGAAAGGCTCTCCCACCCCACTCCCTCACCCCTACCCCCAGCCCCCTGCCACTATTTTTGTGTGTGTGTGTGTGTCGGTCTCACTGTCACTCAGGCTGGAATACAGTGGCCCACTCCTAACTCACTGCAGCCTCAAACTCCTGGTGCTCAAGCAATCCTCTTGCCTTAGCTTCCCAGGTAGCTACGACTGCAGACATGTACCACCATGCCTGGCTAATGTTTCAATTTTTGTAGAGATGCTGTCTCACTCTGTTGACCAGGCTGGTCCTGGGCTCCTGGCCTCAAGTGATCTTCCGTGGCACTTGGCCTCTCACTCTCTTTTCCCTTGGGGAAAGGGCAGAGTGATGGTGCTAGAGTGGCTTCCATCTACAAAGCCAGGACAGACAGGCATCTTCTTTTCAGGCTTTCTGACTCCAGGTGGGGACAGGGAGTGACAAAGATGGTTTGATGGACAAGCCAGGAAGGTGAGCACAAGGAGAACATCTGGGATGGGGGTCGGGGAGTCGGTTTGTGGGCCTGCTGGGAACTGCCACGAGGACAGGGCAAGAGACATGTGCATTAGGAGGATTGTGGCTAACTGCAGCCAATAGGGGATCAGCTAGAAGATGGAGAGCAGTTTCAAGGTGCCTCCAATGCCTATAGAAACTGCTTCCTCAGGAGGGCCTGTTCAGGCTTCTGTCTACCCTCACAAACTACACTACTGAGAAAGAAGAGTTAATTTTTCTTTTTGAGACAGAGACTCGCTCTGTCACCCAGGCTGGACAGCAGTGGCGCGATCTTGGCTCACTGCAACCTCCGCCTCCCAGGTTCAAGCAATTCTCTGCCTCAGCCTCCCGAGTAGCTGGGATTACAGGCGCCTGCCACCAAACAAGGCTAATTTTTGTATTTTTAGTAGAGATGGGGTTTCACCATGTTGGCCAGGATGGTCTCGATCCCCTGATCTTGTGATCCACCCATCTCGGCCTCCCAAAGTGCTGGGATTATAGGTGTGAGCCGCTGTGCTTGGCTAAGAGTTAATTTTTCTAGTGGGGTGTTTGCTGGCAAAGTAATGAGTTTTCAACAAAGGGAAGGCCAATGCACCTCATCAAAGTGGGAGGGTGGGAAGGGAGGCCTGTGACAGAACTTTACCTGCACCTTACCACCTGCCCTGTGTCCTATTCCCAACTAGTACTGGAGACAGCAGGGAAGGACTGAGTCAAATATGAAACAGGAGTTTTAAGCGGAGAGGTGGACTCAGGACTAAGTCTTATTATCTGAAAGTGACTGAAAATTACCTGACAGATGTCAGAGGGGCCTATGATCCAAATGTAATTACTGGAAAAATAAAACATTTGAAAGAACTGATTGGAGACAAGATAACCAATAATTTTGGGTTTATTAAACTATTAGAAAGGGGCTAGCAATCTGCAGAGCCACCACTTACTGTCCACTCATTACTGAAAACTCAGTTTCCATAGTGACCTAATTATACTTTATTTAATGCAACTTTAATAAATGAGAGAACTTGTTTTTGAGATGGAGTCTTGCTCTGCTGCCCAGGCTGGAATGCAGTGGTGTGATCTCAGTTCACTGCAACCTCCTCCTCCTGGGTTCAGGCAGTTCTGCTTCCACCTCCCGAGTAGCTGGGACTACAGGCATGAGCCACCATGCCCGGCTGAGAACATTTTACATATATGTGAAATAGTTACCCAGTCCTGATCAACTAGAGCACTAAGTGACACACATTAAATGTTAAGTTTGAAAAGACTGTAAAACATTCACATATGACAGCTCTTAGTGAAGTAAGAGCCTTTCATATTCCATAATTGTTTGAAACATCCAGGAGAGCTAGGTCCCGTATCTCCTCTAGAAGTGCGTATAGGCTCCTTCCCTTTGTTTGGCAATATTCTTGATATTCTTCCTGAATGATGTTTACTTTGACTTCTTGGGCAAGCTGAGCTTCTTCCATAGATTTAGTTACTTCTTTCACTAACTCACTCTTCAGCAAGGGGGAGCTCTGATGAATAAGTTCTGTATTTGGTATCTTGTATGGTTTGTTACTAATTATTTCAAGTCTGATTGTATCAGAATGGCAACGTGAGGCCTGTACGGATATTCTTACCTAGCATAGAGAAGAAAATACATATTACTAAATCACATTATTTCTTCCTTACATTTTAAATATTAATAATACGTAATAGAAATACAGACTTACGGTTACATGGTCAAACAAGTGGAACGTAACAGATTCCCCATCTGTTGTAGTAGAGGTAATTTCGTTTTGAAATCGTTGAAGGGATCCTGGTTTCCATGCAGAACGGCTATCTGGGCCAGATGAGATGACTAAACCATCTTTATTTTTTAGATAAGCAGCACCTTTAATCCCAAACCTATATTATGACCAGAATATAAATCCAGAGACAATGTATTCTTAGTACACAGATCTTGTATGCTTATCTAGAATACTAGTTTTTCTCCTAGATTAAAAACAAATTACTTTTCCTGTGGTTTACCTCCAAGTATTTATTTCACCTTAGCAGATGGAAACAAAGTATTTTGTTAGATAAGAAAAACCCTAAAATGGACATAGATGTGTATATATATACACACATTATCTTCACTTTATTTATTTATTTATTTATTTATTTTTGAGACGGAGTCTTGCTCTGTCCCCCTGGCTGGAGTGCAGTGGTACTATCTCGGCTCACTGCAAGCTCTGCTTCCCGGGATCATGCCATTCTCCTGCCTCAGCCTCCCGAGTAGCTGGGACTACAGGCGCCCGCCACCGCGCCCGGCTAATTTTTTTGTATTTTTTTTAGTAGAGACGGGGTTTCACCGTGTTAGCCAGGATGGTCTCGATCCCCTGACCTTGTGATCCGCCTGCCTCGGCCTCCCAAAGTGCTGGGATTACAAGCGTGAGCCACCGCGCCCGGCCCCACTTTATTTTTTTTGAGACAGATTCTTGCTCTGTCACCCAGGCTGGAGTGCAATGGCACAATCTTGGCTCACTGCAACCTCTGCCTCCCGGGTTCAAGTGATTCTCCTGCCTCAGCCTCCCAGGTAGCTGGGATTTCAGGCACGTGTCACCACGCCCGGCTAATTTTTGTACTTTTAGTAGAGACGGGGTTTCACCATATTGGCCAGGCTGGTCTCGAACTCCTGACCTCAGGTGATCTGCCCACCTTGGCCTCCCAAAGTGCTGGGATTATAGGCGTGAGCCACCCCTGGCCTCCAATCTTCACATTTATATACTGAATCATATGTTACATTATGTACATATAACTAGTTGCTTAAATATCTTAATAAATTGTATCTATGTACAGTTTGTGTTCTACACTTTTACTGATGATTTGTTATGCACCATTGCATTAGATGTAACATACCTGGGTATAAATACAAGCACACCATTTGTTCGAATTGAATAAATAACTCCATCAGATATGCAACGCTCCTCGGTGGCAGGGTCTTTGTCTTTGAAGTACATGCACTGGAAGAGCTCAGTAGACTGCTTCTGAGAATGCTGTGCTGCCTGTAAGAAGCACAACTCCAAAGTATTATAACACTCCCCTGGCATTCCCCGAAGAAATGAAATTCATATTCATTCAAATGTGAGATTCTGTAAAACTATTAACATAAAAATTGTTCTCGATTATGAAATTAAATTACTTTTTGTGGGAACTTAACTATCTAGTATTATCTCCTCAAAAATGTCTTAGAAAATGAATTATTCTATAAAATGAAACCCATTTTTAGTTCATGAAATTAGAGATCAGCAAATTTGAGTCATGTCCACCTTGGGTACAGGAAAAGTATCACATATGTCTTACTTGCCATTTCTTTCCTCTCTTTTCTTTTTTTTTTTTTGAGACGGAGTCTCGCTCAGTTGCCCAGGCTGGAGTGCAGTGACACGATCTTGGCTCACTGTAAGCTCCACCTCCTGGGTTCACACCATTCTCCTGCCTCAGCCTCCCGAGTAGCTGGGACTACAGGCGCCCGCCACCACGCCCAGGTAATTTTTTTTTTGTATTTTTAGTAGAGATGGGGTTTCACCGTGTTAGCCAGGATGGTCTCGATCTTCTGACCTCATGATCCGCCCACCTCGGCCTCCCAAAGTGCTGGGATTACAGGTGTGCGCCACCCCGCCCAGCCAGCCTTTCTTTTAAAACCTGTCCTACGAAAACCCTATTGGTGGAAGTCTAAATTAGCACTACTGAAAAGGAAGACAATTTAGTAATATGTATCAAAGTTTCTTTTTGTTTTTTGAAGATGGAGTCTCACTCTGTCGCCTAGGCTGGAGTGCAATAGCGTGATCTTGGCTCCCTGCAACCTCCACTCCCGGGTTCATGTGATTCTCCTGTGTCAGCCACCCGATTAGCTGGGATTACAGGCGTGCACCACCATGCCTGGCTAATTTTTGTATTTTTTTTTTTTTTTTTTTTTTTTTTGAGAAGGAGTCTCGCACTGTTGCAGTGGCGCGATGTTGGCTCACTGCAAGCTCCGCCTCCCGGGTTCACGCCATTCTGCCTCAGCCTCCCGAGTAGCTGGGACTACAGGCGCCCGTCAC